TCATGTCTGACCCCCTTACCTCTCTACCTTCATCTCCTATAACCCTCAACCTTACTTACTCTGCTCCAGACACTCCGGAACATGCGGAGAACACATCACTTGATCCTGCTTTGGGGCCCTGGGGCCGTCCCTCTGCCTGAAACGCTTATGCCCTGGATAGCGACATGAGTCTTCCCTTCACCTTGCCTTCCAGCCTCCCTTCAGCTGGCATTCTTCAGAAAGCCTTTTCCTAACCACCCTAAATAGAAGACAAGCCCCTCCGTTACTCTCCCTGCCTTATCTCGTTTTATTTTTCACCACTCGACATATCATTATTTGTTTATTCTCAGTCTTTCTGTCTCTGTGAGAAAAGAGTCCACGAACAGCACCTGGTACATGGCAAGAGTTCTGTAAAAACTGCCAAATGAACACATGTCAACTATATTTTGCATGGGTGTTTTATCAAAGCACTAACTAAAAATACTGACTTTTTCCCTTTTTTCCCCCACAATGTAAAATGAGTTTGGCAAACTAACAAAAACCTCATTGACACAGACAACGGTATGGTGGTTACCAGAAGGGGCGGAGGAGTGAGGAGAGGTTGAAACAAGTAAAAGGGGTCAATATATGGTGACGGAAGGAGACTAAGCTTTGGGTGGTAAGCACACACCGCGATATACAGATAATGCATTACGGAATTGTACTTTTGAAACTTATATAATCTAATCAACCAGTGTAACCCCAATAAATGTAATTTTAAAAAAAGAAAATGAGGTTGAGAAAGGGTAGGATAGTTGCTTTGAGCTCAGGTATTACCGTATGATTTTATTACTGTCACTAGAATGAACTTAATTTGTCCTTAAATAGAGTATGAGTTGACTGATTTTAATGGAAGAACTATTTATTTTTTATAAAGCCTAATTATCTAACCTGGATAAAATATAATTCAAAATTAAAACATTGAATGTTTCACTGCAGTAGGACCTCTTGGTGAAGAGTGAATTATATTTAGTTTAAGAAGTAGTTTATTAGTACAAATACTAAATTTTTCTCATAAAACTGTGTCGCCCATTTTTTCAAATGGCACAAAATAATGCTATTTGAAGTGTTTAAAATGTTCAGAAAAAAATGTTTTCTAAAAATATTAACAAAACAGATTTCTTGATAATAGTTATCATCCTCAAAAGCATTTACTAACAAGTCCTTGGCTGGTGTGGCTTAGTTGGTTGGAGTGTTGTCCTGTAAACTGAAAGGTTGCAGGTTCAATTCCCAGTCAGAGCACATACCTAGGTTGTGGGTTTGATCCCCAGTCAGGGCGCATGTGGGAGGTAACCAATCAATGTTTCTCTCTCTTTTTCCCTTCCCCTCTCCGAACTATATAAACACATCCTCGGGTGAGAATATTTTAAAAAGCAAGCAAGCATTTACCAATATATAGCGCTACATTTTCATTGTAGATGTGCTGCCTTAAAAATTACACAATCAATTACTGGACAATTCACTCCTACAATCATCCCTGCTTAAGAGGAAACAAATATTTTTAAGAGTCCAATAGCAACTATTGGGAGATAGTTGCTTTAAATTATTAAATAAACAGTTTTAAGAAGAGACAGACAAACAAGGACTTCTCTGAGGATTGACTGATGCAGGCCAAATTCTATTACAAAATCCAAGAAACCATTCAGTTCTTTTGTAGTATTAGTGTTTTGTTGTATCAAATATAGGTCCTATTAAGCAGGACATTACCTGACTTGGGGAATCTTTTTGTTCCCAGACATAGTGCTTAATTTCATGAGATTTAGGCTTCACAAAACAAATGATGTCACCATTCTCTCCCATGGATAGTAAAATAAGAAAAATAAGGACAATGATATAGATACACTCACAGAATTATACACATACATTCACACACACCAGAGAAATGAATCTATACAAATGTTATTTGTAGTTATCAACTTCTCTCTCGGGAAGACTGCTTTATTCTAAAACTGACGTTCCTGGTTTATAAAAAAATATTACAACGTCTTTTCTTTGATGAAGCAATGGTGATAGTTGGTAGCTGGTTTTTTTAAAAGGCTACGAACCCTATCCCAATCTGTAAAAACAAAAAAAAAAATTTTTTTAAACTATTACTGGTCTATGAAAATACAAAACATCCACAAATGACAACTTTCTAAAAACATTTCAGCTAGCTTCCCTTCTTTCTTTCTAGGAGAAAACCCAAATCCTTAGCCTGGCATTCAAAGTCTTCTACATTTGGTCTTGAGGTGTCTTTCCAGCTTTCCTTATCACTCCGGGGGCAGCCAGGCAATCAGCACCTGTCGGTCCTCACCTGCTTTGGCTAAGGTGACTGGGGTACCTTCAGCCTTAGTCCTGCTGGCTCCTGGTTCCTGACCTTTGCAGGGGTCATTTAAACCCTCAGCTCTTTGAGGGATGTTCAAGGAAAACCCTAGGAACTTAAACTCACTGAGTCACTGAGCTGCAACCTTCCCCTGGGTCCAAGGAACTGTTTTTTGCTTCCAGTTTGGTACTCCTCCTTCCCATGGGCCCTGAAGCTCTGCCTTCAATTCCAGTTCAGATGAGACCCTCAAACACATCCCTACCTCTCACCGATTTCCTCTTCTCAGGGGCGACAGCACGTGCCCTGGGGTCAGGCTCCAAACCCCAAAGACCACCTGGGACCAACGTGGAGCTCTGTGCTAACCGTCACATCCCAGGGCCAGGGTGTTCCCAGGAAACACTCGCACTCCCTCCCACTAGACCCTGGCTTCCTGGCCTCCCCTTGTCTATGCGACCTGCTAGCACACGGCAGGCATCTTGGTTAAGACGTTGGAGTTATCACTTGGGCTCCCTCCATACACTGCTTCCCACTCATGCACCTTTTCCTAGGACACACTATCTGCCCTGAATGCCTTCTCTCTCATTCCGTGCCTCCCTGAACATCTCAAAGTCTAGCTCAAATGTGCCTCCTAACAATTTATTTTCACTATTCAACAAACATTTAGAGGGGGTCTTGCCAGGCCTGGGGACACGAGGTACATGACACAGGCCCTGCGCAGTAGGAACCCAGTCTATCCTGAGTGGGCGCCGACGGGGAATCACTTCCCTTGCACAAGGTAAGCACCTGCAAGACAGGCTGCGCAACTTGGTGTAAACATTGTTTCAGGGACTATAAGTATTTACTGAGAAAATAAATGGAAAAACATGACTTTAGTGCACAAACGGTCAGTTCATTTATTCAGCCAGTATTTATTAAGTAGCCATTATATGTTAGGAATATCAGAGAATTCTGAAAAGCTAGGGCTTAAAGAGACAGCCTCTGCAGAAGTCTAGTCCCATCACCTCATACAGATCGGGGAGTCCGCATCTGTGCCCTGACGGCGGGGTGGCGGGGGGAGGGGGCGGTAAGGGAGGGGATTGCGCGCTGCATGCTTTGAAATCCTGTGTGCACAACTCTCTCCTTTAGAGCAAATCAATATTCAGTTATTCAAAAGAACACATCTCACTTTCTAATTTATGGGCAATACCCACCTGTCCTAAGAACTTACTTTTTTAACCTTTTTAAAAACCCAACAAGAACATTTACTGGAGGCCCACTACGTGCCAAGTAAGTGACACAGAGATACAGAGGCGAGGTTCCTGTCCTGGCAGAGTTCAGTTAGTTAAGGGAGCCACACCTGTAAGCGCTACAGCGCTAGAGAGCGGTGAGGGAGCGCAGCAAGGCAGCCGCAGGGGGCCTTCAGAAGCAGAACAAGGGTCTCCACTAGAAGGAAATTTTCTTTTCTTCGGAGGAAAGGAACTTTGAAATGCAATGATCACTTCCTCCTCTAGGCAAGCCAGAGAAAGTGAAAAACTGCCCACCAGCCCAAAAGAAATGGTGGCAATCTCTCCCTGGGTAGAGGGTGGGGAAGGGCAGAGGGGGCCAGGGGGTGGGCTGTGCAAACACTGCTGGTCTCACCCCTTCCTAGGGGAGCACTTCGGGAAGGGGAGGGAGTTGGAAGTGTTTTTATCAGAACAGATAACATCCTGCTGGTAAAGAACATCCTCAATCCAAACAGAGAAAGTGTTCCTATTATCCACCCACTTTACCCAAAGCCTGCTGCTGCTTCCCATTCCAGGCCCTTATCCAGAGGTATCCCACATACTTAATTCCCGGGGAAAGAGGACTTTGAGAGAGGCCTGGAGACGATGGAGAAGCAGGGATAAGAGAAAATGCCGAGTGTTCCACTCGCCTCCCGTGAGGGTGCTCTTTCCTTGTCCTGTAGTCAGTCAGCATGTCAGGACGCAGACCTTAACTATTTGAAACCAAGTTAACCCCACTGCATTCATTACACGTCTACTTTGTGGTTTGGGTTTCATCTTCACAGAAATTCAGAAAAGAAACCTCTTTCCATTAGAAGGGGAAAAAAAGTTTTAGCTTGTAATTAACAACCCTCCCCCCCCCTTAATATCATGGTCTTCTAGGGTTAACTAAGAAACATTTTTTAAGTGATCATTTTGCTCCTTTGAGAAAAATCCTTCTTTTCAAGACAGGACATTATGATGCTCAGAGGTAGATAAATGTGAGGTTTTCAAATGTAATGAAAACCTGTCAGCTTCCTAGCAATTTGAAAAAAAGATGGATGATTAATTCTCTTAATGGACTGAGAACATCAACAGAAGATTGCCTAGGAGTTTAAAAATTATGCATGTTAACAGACCTGAGTTGTGGTATGTTCTTAAACTCTCAAAGTTGATGACTCTCAAAGAACTAGCTCTACAGGTGACATGGAAAAGAAGCTATTGGGAAGAAAAATAAAATATCTCATAGCATGTCTGAAAGTGAATACCATCTTGCCTGTATTTACATCTCTGCTTTCTAGTTCATTACATAATTGGTGATTTGTGCACAGACGTTCCATTTGTGTCAGAGGACAAAAGTCCTTGAAGGGAGGAGACGCAACTATACCTCAAGGCATTTACTTAACATAACATGCCTCCAATTTTTAGCCCCTGAAAATTCACTGAAAAGGATCCATTACCTTGAGCATGCGGACTTCTCGAAGGGCGATTTTCTTTATGACAGGGTCATCTTCTGATTCCAGAAACCTCTTGATGGCCACGATCTGGCCCGTGTCCCTGTTTCTGCATTTGAAAACAACTCCATAGGATCCTTCACCAATTTTCCCAATTTTTTCATACTTCTCCATCACAGAGGAATAAACTTTCTTAAAATGGATCTTCACATAGTTTGAAAATGTCGCTTGTAAAACATCAGCACGAACAGACTGTACTGGAGTCCCATTCAGCAACGGCTTCACCAAGGACCTAGAACAGAACACCACCAACCTGATCAAGAATTAGGAATTAACCCACAGCTTTAAAGCCTCGCCCCTCAGCAATGGCAACGTGACCCAACGACAGCCTAGAGTTAGGTAACCCAATTTTAACCGTCTGTTTTATATACCCTGCAAGTTAAAATGTAACTCATCATCCTAAAACGAACCGAGTTGTAAGATAATCTATCTTTTAAATGTTATATTGTAGTTCACCCGATCTAAGATACATGAGCTGGCTGGAGGTCGAGGAAGGCTAAGGGGCTTCCCGGTTCTAATTTCGGGTCTGATTTCCTTGCAGCAAGAAGACACCGCCCGGCTCCCCGCGGGGGTGGCGGCGAGGCGGAGGCGGAGCGGAGACCCGGCCGACAGAGGTGCCCGCCCCGCGCCCGCGCCCTCGCCACCCGCCCAGGGGTGCAGGCCTGGAGCTTGGCGAACCGCAGGCCCTGGCGAGCCGGCGCCGCGCGGGGCCACCCCTCCCGCCCGGCTGCTAACTCGCGGCCGCGGGAAGACGTAGCCAGCGCCGCCCTGGCCTCCACCAGCGCTCCAGCCGGCGCCGCGCAGCTTCGAGAGGCGCCACGTGCAGGCCGGGCCCGTCCCTTCCCGACCCGGGACTCACGGGCCACGCTGCCGGCCGTGCCTTGCTTCCTCCTCGCCGACTCCTGCCGGGCTCCGCTCTCGGCCTGCCTGGCCCGCTATCCCTATGGGAACTGGCCCCCCACCCCGGCTGTCCTGGGCGGAGCCGCCGTGCCCGGCTCCCCTGCTGGACCCGGCCGCTGTCTTTGCTGCGGGGAAGGGCCCTGTGGGCTGTCCTCGGCCCCTGATGGAGCTGTTCGCACCCGGCGCCTGGGCCCTGCACGTACGTCCCCCGGCCGGGAGAGGATGCCTGCAAGGCTGCAAACTCTGACAGGTCGGGGAAAAACACCGCAGGAGCAGAGTCTGCTGGGAAGACCTCAGCGCCACGAGACCCCCTCCCCACCCCACCTGCCTGCATCACGGACACAGAGGTTCCCCGCATCGTGTAACAACTGTGATTTACTCCCCCGTGTCCTCTGCTAGCCTGTAAACGCCTTGAGGGAAGCTTCGCGAGTGTCTGATCGGTGGCCATAGCATCCAGTGAGTGAATGAATGAATGAAAGAAAACGGGAGAGAAAGGCAAAGACGAAGAGGAAGGTATGACCGGAAACTGATCAAGGTCAGCACTTCACTCCATTAGCTTGGAGAGAGGGTGCTCCCGTGCGACTGACTTCCACTACAGCCCAGGCTTCTGATGCGAAGATGGAGGCTTTCAGTGCTCCTTAGTCCCATCCTTCTCCTGCTCCTACTTGCTCATTTAAGCACAAAGGAGGGAAGGTTAATAAACGGGAAATCATGAAAGTGAACTTGCATGGGTAGATCCGTCTCAATACTTGACATCTATCTATCTATCCCATTTCATCTACCAGCACTCAGGTGGCTGTTCTGGAAGGAATACCCAAGGAGAAAATAACGTATTGTCTATAAAACAAAGACAAAATCCCTGCAGCAGCATGGCACCAACCATAAATCAGATAGGGGCTGTAGCAGCTGAGCTGGCTGGAGAAGTGACTGGTGGCAGCCTTGATTGGAGCAGCAGGGTCCAAGGGTTCACCAAAGGTCATCTGAACCTCCCAGAATTGTGTGCATGAAATGTCAACCACCGGTGTTTTTCTTAGTTTTGCCTTTTCCAGAATGTCATGTCAATGGAGTTTATATTATGGAGCTTCCTTGAGCTAAGACTTTCTCATAAATTTTGAAGTTCATCCATTTTGTTGGCATTATCAGAAGTTTATTCCCTTTTTTACCACTGAGTAATGTTCCATTGTATGGATGTACCATAGCTTGTTTATCCATTCCCAGTTGAAGACATTTCAGTTGTTTCCAGCTCTTGGTGATCAGAAGCCACGCCACAATAAACATTCATGTGCAGGTCTATTGTGTGAACATGTTTTCATTAACTAGAGGAGTACTGCTGGGTCATATAAGAAGTATATACTGAACTAACTGCCAGAATGTTCACAGAGATATTTTACCTTTCTGCCAGCAATGTTCTAATTACTCTGCATCTTTGTCAACACTTAATATGCTAGGGTCTTTGATTTTCAACCATTTTAATATGTAGGTAATGGTCTACTGTGGTTTAACTTGCATTTCCCTAACGACTAATGTTGAACAGTTTTTTATATGCTTATTTGCTATCTAGATGTTTTCTCACTTATAAGTTCTAGGAAGTTTTTGGAAATTCCTTGTTCTGTAGACAATCATATCATCTGCAAATAGGGACAGTTTTAATTCTTCCTAACTGGTATGCTTTTTATTTCTTTTTTGTCTTATTGCACTTGGTAGGCTCTCCAGTGTGAACTCAAATAGGAGTGGTGACAGCAGATATACATACTACCGATTTTAGGAGGAAGGATTCAGTCTCGCACCGCTAGGTATGATGCTAGCGAGATTCCCTTTGTCAATGCTGTGGTTGATAGCCTCTAGATGGCCCTTGATAACCGCTGCTTCTTGCAGCCATGCCCAAAGTTTCCTTCGGGTAGGCTTGACCTAGTGACGTGCTTCTAAGGAATGGAATATGTCAAAAGTAATGTAATACCACTTGGAGGGTAGGTTACAGAGACTGATTTCCACCTTGCTCACTTTGTGCTCTCTCACTTTCTTGCTCCTGAGGGAATACAGATGCCACGCTGTGAGCTGCCCCATGACAAGGAACTGAGGCAGCCAACAGCCAGGAAGAACTTCAGCACTAGTCCAGTATTCTGTGAGGAAATGAATCCTGCCAACAACCATGTGAATGAGCTTGGAAGTAGACCTCCCCACTGCTCACAACACCCTTACAGTGAGCCTTCCAATGACATTGAGCCCCAGCTGACAAATATAAGTTAATCTTTCGTAGAGGCCTTGATCCAGAGATAGCCCAGCTGGGTCATATCTGTGTTCATGACCTCCAGGAACTGTAAGATAATAAATGTTTTTGATATTTATGTTTTTTTGTCATTATGCAGCAAATAGAAGTAATACAGAGGTCCCTATTTGACTGAAAAAGTTTTTTAATTCCAGTTTGCTGAGCTGGTGTTATTTTATTTTATTTTATTTTTTATTTTATTTTATTTTATTTCTGTTATCTTTACCCAAGGACATATTTTTATTGCTTTTAGAGAGAGAGGAAAGGAAAGAGAGAAACATTGATGTGAGAGAGAAGCATCAATTGGTTGCCTTTCCCCTGACAGGGATTGTATGTACCCAGGACTGAGGATCGAACTCCACAACTAGGTATGTTCCCTCACCCCCAGAAATCAAACCCACAACCCCTCGGTTACAGGACAATGCTCCAACCAACTGAACCACATGTGCTAGGGCAAGAGGTGTTTTGTAAATAATGAATTGATGTTGAATTTTGTCAAATGTTTCTACATCGGATTGTATGATTTTTCTTTATCTTACAATTTTTCTTAGTCTGTTGATATAGTGAATTATATTGATTGATTTTAAAATGTTGAACTAGCTTGTATTGGGATAAAAACCAACTTGGTGATGACATTCTATCATTTTCATACATTACTGGAATTGATTAACAGTAATTTTTTGAGGATTTTTGCTAC